TTTTTTTTTCTTGTGTTTAGCATTTGCTTTAATCTCAGTTTATAGCTCTCCGCGGGGGATTTCCTAATAGAGTACTGGCTCCTTACCCAAAATGAGATAGCGAGCCGATCAACCACTTTTTTGTTTGGATAAAAATCAAAAAACCCCGCTTTTTTCTTTGCTTGAAGCGCTATTCATTTATCTATTAAAGAATCTAGAGTTACACATACGCATACATATTTCAAAATTTCCCCAAAATGCTATTTTGGGGTAAGTTTTCTTTAAACCTTGGAAAAAGGTTTTTGAACCTGTCAGAAACAAAATACATAGACATTGAAAAACAAACCAGGAACAGTATTAAATAAAGCAGAATAAACGTTGGTAATTTAGAATAGTCCCTTACTATCATATTACTGACTTGATAACATGTCTTGATCAAAAAGAACAAGCAAGCATATCTTGAAAATCTTATATTAAAAGAGAAGGAACTAAATTTTGGATCTCCCTTTATAACTATCAAGGTTCACTTTCTATTTTTCTATTTTTCTTTTTCTTTCTTTTCTTAAGCTCTTCTTTCAACATGTCTCAAACCGAGGAAACTGCTCAAAACATTGAGATCATCACTCATCCAGTTCCTGCTCGTCTTTTAGACCCCAGCCAATGTCCTACTCCTCATGTCAACTCCATGGAACAATACCGTGCCATGTGGAAAGAAAGTGTTGAAGAGCCCACCAAATTCTTTGGAAATGTATGTAAAAAAAAAAAAAAAAAAAAAAAAAAAAAAAGACATCGACTTCAAGATTAGATCACTTATTTATTCCATAGCTTGCTCGTGGTCTTTTGTCCTGGGACAAGCCTTTTGAAACTGTCAAGCATGGCTCATTTGAAACTGGCGATGTTGCCTGGTTTTTAGAAGGTGAATTAAATGCTTGTTACAACACTGTCGATCGTCACGCTCTCAAGAACCCTGACAAGATTGCCATTATTCACGAAGGTGATGAACCCTCCAATGTTCGCCATATCACTTATGGAGAGCTTTTCCGTGATGTTTGCCGTATGGCCAACGTCCTCAAAAACTTAGGTGTCCGTAAGGGTGATAATGTTGCTATCTACATGCCCATGATTCCCGAAACCATGATTGCCATCTTGGCCTGTGCTCGTATTGGTGCTGTTCACTCTGTTGTGTTTGCTGGTTTCTCTGCTGAATCCCTTTTGGACCGTGTGGCTGATTGTGGTGCTCATGTTGTCATTACTTCTGACGAAGGTCGTCGTGGTGGTCGTAACATTGCCACTAAGTCCATTGTCGATAATGCCTTGAGCAAGCAAGAAGCTCATCAAGTTGAACATGTCATTGTGTTCCAACGTACAGGTACTGAGGTGCCTATGCAAAAGGACCGTGACTTATGGTGGCATGAGGAAATGGATAAGGCTCGTCCTATCTGCCCTTATGAAAAAATGAATGCTGAAGATCCTTTGTTCTTGCTTTATACTTCTGGTTCCACCGGTGCTCCTAAGGGTATTCTTCACACTACCGGTGGTTACCTTTTAGGTGCTGCTGCTACTGTCAAGTATATTTTCGATGTTCATGATGATGATGTCTATGCCTGTATGGCTGATATTGGTTGGGTCACGTAAGTCATAGTCAAAAATTTGCAATGTCCTTCTTAACATGTATGTATAGTGGTCACAGTTATATTTTGTATGGTCCTCTTACTCTTGGTGCCACTACTGTCTTGTTTGAATCCACTCCTACTTACCCCACTCCTGCTCGTTTCTGGGAATTAATTGAAAAGCACAAGGTCACTCAGTTCTACACTGCTCCTACTGCTATTCGTGCTCTTCAACGTCTTGGAGATGAATGGGTTGAAAAGAACGACTTGTCTAGTCTTCGTGTCATTGCTTCTGTTGGCGAACCCATTAACCCTGAAGCTTGGAACTGGTACAACGAAAAAGTCGGTAAGGGTAAGTGTGCTGTTGTCGATACCTACTGGCAAACCGAGACTGGTTCTATTATTATCAGTCCTTTGCCCGGTTGTACTCCCACCAAGGCTGGTAGTGCTACTTTGCCTTTCTTTGGTATTGAACCTGTTCTTTTGGATCCTGCCACCGGTGCCAAGGTTGATGGTCCTAACAAGACTGGTGTCTTAGCTCTCAAGAATGCCTGGCCTTCTATGGCTCGTTCTGTCTTTAATAACCATGCCCGTTTCTTGGATGTTTACACAAAGCCATATCCTGGTTACTATTACACTGGCGATGGTGCTGCTGTTGATGAAGATGGTTATATTTGGATCAAGGGTAAGTGTTGTTTTATTTGTGTGTTATATATACTGATGTTCAATAGGTCGTGTTGATGATGTGATCAATGTCTCTGGTCACCGTCTCTCTACTTCAGAAATTGAATCTGCTCTTGCCACACATACTTATGTTGCTGAAGCTGCCGTTGTCGGTGCTCATGATGATTTGACAGGTCAAGCCATTCATGCTTTTGTGTCACTTAAGCCCCATGCTCAAGTCAATGATGGTCTTGACCGTGAATTGGTCTTGACTGTTCGTAAGATCATTGGTCCATTTGCCGCTCCTAAGCGTATCCATATTGTTCGTGAACATCCCAAGACTCGTTCCGGTAAGATTGTTCGTCGTATTTTGCGTAAGATTGTGAATGGTGAACACCACCAACTTGGTGATACTTCTACTTTGGCTGACCCTACTGTCGTTTCTTCTATTGTTTCTCAAGTTCATCCTTAATTTCCATGTACTATTACCCCCCTTCAACTTTTTTTTAATAGACACAAAAAAGAAAGTATATTATTGTATTTATATCATCTTAATAATGAAAATAAACTCAAAAAGAGTGGTTGTTTTGAAAAAAAAAAAAGGTCTTTCAAAATAGTTGATTTAATCTACGCCTTTTTACCTTTTTTTCTCTCTTATTTATGGCTCAAGATATTTTACGCGACGAGGTTAAAGAAAACCCTATGACGATAAGCCCAAAAAAAAATTCTGCTATTGCTACAGAAGCCCATATGAAGAAGCAGCAAAAAGAAGAAGAAGAAAAAAAAACAGAGCAAGTAGAGCAAGTAGAAGAAGTGACAAAAGTGAAACAAGAGTCTCGCAAAAGAAAAAAACCAGTAAAGAAAACTGTTAAAAAGAAACAAGCTAAACCAACTGCTGCAGACCAGTCTACTACTGAATTGGATCCTCTTGCTGACAAACCTACTTCCCAAGGTATTCAAGCCATAGAGCCACTTCTTGAAGACACAACGATATCAAAAACCAGAACATACAAAAAAGCACGCGTATCAAAACTAAAAGCACAACCTAAAGGCAAGAAAGAAGAAGAAGAGGAAGAAGAAGAGGAAGAAGAAGAGGAAGAAGAAGAGGAAGAAGAAGAGGAAGAAGAAGAGGAAGAAGAAGAGGAAGAAGAAGAGGAAGAGGAAGAGGAAGAGGAAGAGGAAGAAGAGGAAGAAGAGAAAGAAGAAGAAGGCGTAGTACCCATAGAGCAACCTGAGTCCGCTAAAAGACGAACCACCAGAAAAAGAAACATGCCCAAGTATATTGAAGAATCTATGGATACAACAGATTCTTCTTCATTGCCTTTAGTGAAAAACGATACCACTACACCTATATCAGCTGCACCAAATACACAATCTTCTGTTGATTTATCTGAAACTGGTGTATCAACTAATATATCGTCTATCGACACACAGCCTGTTGCAATAGAGTCACCAAACACCAAATTGCCTGCTGGTGAAGAAACATTTACCATGACAAAAGCATTGATTACTACAGAGCCATTTGCTGATGTAGAAAAAACAGAAACTATACCACTTCCTGAACATCAACAAAATGACACTGAGTCGACGTCAATATCACCCAAAGTATCCAAACGAGGCGTAAGAAAAAACATTAAAAATCAAGATCCAAATCCAAAGCCTCTTTCAGCTTGCGGAAGAGGAAGAAAGAAGGTATCTAAGGATACCGAACAAGAGGTCAATGAAACCCAACTAGCTCAGATACCAGAAGCTCAGATAAAGCAAGATTATAATCATACAGCATTAGAGTTCCTCTTGACAGATAAATCAAGCTATCTAGCAGAAGCAGATTTGCGTGTAAGTTTCGTAACAAAGACATAATGTAGTCATGTCTTTGATAGGCTATGATCCCTGATTTTATTCAAAAACTCCCGATCAAAGATCAACAAGAACTAGCGTCATTGTTACCTAGCTCTGACAAGACAGTTGAAGGCAAAGCACCTCAAATTAATCCTTTTTTTAGTTCCACATCCAACAATTTCTTTTGGGAATCAGTCAGACGTTGGCAAGAATGTTTAGCATTAGGTCAATTTGACAAACAAGCTCTTGCAAAAGCAGAATCAAGAAAACAAAAAGAACAGGAAGATACCAGTTTTAAAGATGAAAATTATGAAGCTTATTGGGGAGAGCGATTGGAACGAGACAAAGAGACAAAAGAAGCTAAGCTGTTCAAAACCAAAGGAAAGAGTACCACTCGAGGACGTGGCAGAGGCAGAGGCAGAGGCAGAGGCAGAGGAAGAGGTAGAGGTAGAGGTAGAGGAAGAGGAAGAGGAAGAGGCCGTGGAAAACAAAAAACGACACCATAATTGTTTTTTTTTTCTGTAAAATAAAAACCAATAAGCATAAAGATTCAAACAGCAGACTTGGCTTTCCCAAAAGACGTTTCTTTCATTATTTTAAGTCAATTTCAATTATTAGGATACATATGCTTACAATTGAAAACAGTCAAGACGAAATAACTACAAAGGCTATAAAACATATAAGCAACATCAACTATAGTAGCCATCAATATCGATATACGGGCTTCTGGAAGTCACACAAGAAAAAAAGAGTTCTTCTAAAGCATAAAGGGTTCACAGACTTCTATGCAGAAAACGGATTAAGTCTAGTGATAGTTACAGCAAAAAGTATTACTGGTCATTTTAGGTTACATGTTTGCATTGATAAACAACGGAAAGCATACCTATTGTGGTAATACGAAAATGAAAGCGGTAATTGCAGAACTACAAAGCTTGGCAAATAGGAGGAGAAAGAACAGAGCGATAAGTTCCCTTAAAGATACGCCAAGAATGGCTTATAGTCATCACTATGATTTACTAATAGAAACGCCCTCATTTGGACGAGTTTTTTTTTTTTTTTTTTTTTTTTTTTGGGACCTACGCAAGGATTTTAGTACCATATGCAGTGCAAATAAAGTACTCATTGTATGTGGGGTAGACTGATTTGGTGTATAAAGAAAAAAAAAAAGGGGTATTTAATGACCGAAGTTGATTTGTTTCTTTCTTTTCTTTCTATTACACAAGAATATGAGTTCAAGGGTAGGTCTTTATTTTCACACAATACAGATAGCCTAAGTATGTCTGAATAGAAAAAGACTGTCAATAATAACAATAGTTGGGATCTGGATGCCATGTTGGCTCAAGAGATTCAAGACTTGAATAAAGACTCGGCAGAAGATAGACGTGTAAAAGAAGCCGTTATTGTCTCTAAACCAGACCCTAATCGCATTAACAACGCAGAAGACAGCAGTAGCTCAGACTCGGATGAATATGAAGATGATTTGTCTATTCGTGATCCTGAATTGTTCAAGATAACAGAGAGCAATCGACAGATTAATGTAGATATAGACACAACCACCAAGAATAAATTGGTTCGCCGACCACCTGAATTAGTGTTTTCTGACCCTCCATTGCTTGTTTCTAGAGATGATTATATTCAAGTTACTTTTGCCTATGGTGTCTCTGAAAAAAAGAATAAGAAATCAAAGAAATATATGCTTATGTGTGATTTTGGTGAAGAGAGTATGTATGCACTCAAATGGGCTATCGGGACTCTGTTGCGTGATGGTGATGAGGTTCATGTAGCCAGTGTGGTTAGTATGGACGAAGAAGTGGAAGATATGGACGATAGTGAGAAATACACTCTATGGTCTGAATTGGATCGCAATTCAAAGACAGTGATCTCACGTGTCAAAACAACCCTGATTGAAATGATGCTTTTTGATATCAAGATTGTTATTCATTCATTAGCTGGTAAGACAAGAGAATCCTTGTTGAATTTGGTAGGTTAGATTGGTATCATACAATGGCTTATGGTATTAGATTTACGAAACACCTGGTTTAACCATGATTGTATGTGGCTCAAGAGAAAAGAGTGCACTTAAAGGGTAAACATGGACTGTGTTGATGAGATGTACTCATTGTTGTATCTTAGTATGATTATGGGCAGTGTATCCACTTTTTTGGTACATAATTCACCTGTTCCTGTCTCTGTTGTTCGTCCTCAAAAGAAAGAAAAGACAAAGAGACATAAAAAGACAGCGGCACAAAAACTAAGTCAGAGTGTTATGAACGGACATTTGAAAGTAGATGAAGCAGAAGGAGCCCCTTTAAGCCTTAATAGTTATGATGGAACAACCTAGTCATTTATTACTTATGCAAAGATAATGGCAATCATTAATAAACTTAGCAACATGATCACTAATCTCGACATAAATGCACCTTGAGGTGTTTGTTGACTATTGTTCGAGGAAGACATGTTCTATTATACATGAGTCTATGTTGGTTATTGGTCATTAACTTACAAATGTTACTCCTAAAGGGAAAAACCCAAATCCAGCTGAAATAGACACTCCTCCTCTATTGAATGTATTGTTTCCAAAGGGTTGTCCAAAGAAAGATGTGACTGGCCGATTAGGATCACGCAATGGTGGAGGTCTTTGACCTGCTGGGCGTGTGGGTATTGAGGGATCAGTTCTAGCAAAAAGAAATAAGGCTATTTGTCTCAATTGCTCAATTATTTTACCTTGGATCTTTTTCTTCTTTGCCACGACCATAAATAGGGATCACTTTATCCTTACCACAACCTGCTTTACATACAGGACAAGTAGGATTTCTTGACTGTGCATTAAGCCATTGAGCCAAACAAGACCAGCTATTATCCATTAGTCGGTCTATTTACACGCGCATAATGAAATTACCAAAACAAATGGCCACACAAGGTTAATACAGGATGAATAGCAGTGTCAAAACTAGTATATTCAATATTAACAGCCATAGCTAGCAAATTGGTTTCTTTTCTTTCTTTCTTTACCAAATATTGCACTCATAGAAACCTCCTCCATTTGAGTCTTCAAGTATTGTAGTAGTAGTAGTAGTTTCGGTCTTTGTTGCTGTTTGTTTATTGGCTGTCATCACATTTCTCTGTCTAAGTTCATTCGCTGTATATGAAAAGTTATGTCGAGTGCGTTCAAGGGGAATAGCTGTTTCTTCTTCTAATGTTGTACTTAAAGAAGGACTAAGTTGTTCTTGTATGTTTGGTTCTGAAGACATATGCGTGAGTGAGAAAAAAAAGAAGAAGAAAAAAAGAGTTTAAACCAGCGCTCCATATGAATTTTCTTGATTTTTCTTGGTGTCAAAGCATGAAATGCTCTATTTTAAAGTTAAAAAGATGGGAATGATACAACAGTGCTCTTTTATACGCTTGTATGCCGCATCACTCTAATCAGTCATTATTCCAATCTATTGTTTGTATAGTTGACATGTATAGTATATACTGAAAAAAAAGAGAGATGATTGAACCAATAATGATGCTTAAAAATGACCTGGGATTATGTGTGTTACTTAAATTTTAAGCTGTATAAAGACATCCCACTCGCTTGTGCATAGAGCAGAGCAACAATCCACAATTCTACTAAATGACATAGTCAATAGAAGCTTATTGCTTGATCTAGTTACAGCCGTGAAAATAATGAAAACTATGAATGGGTTTCATAGCATCAAATTATAAACGATAAGCATGTCTTTATATGTATCAAATATTGAAATGTACTATTTGTTTATGTTGTGTATCTCCCTTTCCTTTTAGCTTCCACTATGTTGGCGTTGTTAATGTAATTAATGATTTATTTTCCTGATTTACAGTCAGTAATTGCCGTTGACTAGATCTTGTGCTTATGCTTGCTTATTGCTTATCTATCTTCATTCATTGATACAAATAGTCTTGAATAAAAGCAATGTGCTGAATCCACCCAAGTTTGTTGCTGTATTGTTATTTTTTATTTTCAGTACGAGTTGATCAAATAGAATTCGCTTACTAAACTGTAGCAATGTTGCATTCAATACATTATGATGTTGTTTTCTTCTTTTGAACATATGATATCTAGCCTTTCCACCAACTGCATCGAAGAGTGATTATGGTTGATGAATTTCAGTAAAGAAGAAAAACAGAACCATCCTCCTACAATGTATCTATCGTTAGTTACGGACGCATATTCATAACTAATAGAAAGTTTGAGTGTGCCATTTGATTAGTAACAATAAACAGACCTTTAAAAACAAATTTCTTTGGAAAAAAGCAACTACATTACCAAATCAAGTTCGGCTTACAGTTCAGCCTATCTAAAAAAAAAACTAAACATACACAAGAAAAAAGTGCGCCAGTTTTTATTTCTAGGTGTGCCAATAGTTTCGGGAAATAGTGTAATTACGTTCTTCTGGATGATAATATTCTCTTGAAGGTCTTAAAAGATACCAGTATGGAAACTTACCCGCAAGCATACATTGGAGTACGGTTTCTGAAAGAGGAGCAGTTCGCCTGTTCCAAAAAACTGGTTATTTTTGCATGAATGTATAGATTTTGAAAGTACAATTGCTATGAGCTTTAAATTATGTTTAATTCTTCCATTTTATCCACATGCCTTTGACAACAACAGGTTTGGTATAATGATAAATAATGCAAGCTTTTTTGTTGTTACAGATGTGATCAGCTAATAAGACATATTTGATGAATAGATATTGTTTTTTTCTCTTTCTTTTTGTTTCATGTTTCTTATAATTGCTTGCATTCTCTCAAGAAAAAAAATAAATATTGGAAATGACGGACTGTTCCCCTTCTGAAAACTAGCATTATGTAGTGACAGAACGGAGTGCTTCGTAAACAAATCAAATTTCTTGAAGGACGAGCTATCTTGTAGCCAGAGCAGTAGCAACAAAGATATCAGGGACCGAAAAATTGATATCCTGGTCAAGGCCGGCAATGAGCTATTGAATTCAAGAGTACCACAAATGAAGGTACCAAGAGACACAAAACAAGCTATGGCCGCAGCAGCAAGCGTAGTTCTCTGTCTCTTGAACAAGAAAGCAAGAGTATATGAAACAACAAATGTATAATCAACCAAGCGAAGAAGAAGGGCTACAGTGGCAACATAGATGGGAATGGATTTGACTGGCTTGCATGGCTATTTAAATACCATGCTTTCATGTGAAGATGCATTCGTGGCCCTCCAAGTCAAAGCCTTTGACTTACCAAGCAATAGAAAGGAGCTTCAGGAAGAACACGGATTCCTAAATTTATCTCCTTGCTCGCAGAAAATTATAATAAATGCATCTAAAAAGTTTACTGTTCTTTAATCTGCCTTTTTAGAATATATTTGAAATAATCTGGAAGTGAATTCATTTGACAAATCTTGCTGAGTAGATGCATAGCAAAAAGGCTAGAAAGAACAATACAAAAAAAAAAAAATCCGCTCTTATGTAGTTGACAAGAACAAAATCTAAGAAAACGACTTTCGCCAATTTCCTCTGCAACAATATAATAATTAACCTGTTCATTCTCTGGAGGATGATTTCTTGATTTAAGAAGATTTTCCTTTTTTTGGTTGAATTTGCTACATCTGCTTTTTCCCAGATTGTTCTTTGATACAAATACATGTTTTTTGTTTATTTAAATATATAAGGGGGATCTATGTCTTATTCTTGGTGAACCTTGCCAGTAGGGAATGTGTAGTCTTCAATGGACTCGCGCTTCATTGTGATAGAGTAACCAGCAGCGAGGGGAGCAGTGTATTTACCATCCTTCATGACAACAGGATCCAAGAAGTGTTCGTGCAAGTGGTCAACATATTCTAAAGCACGACCTTCAGTTGTACCAGTAATACAGATATAATCAATCAAAGATAAATGTTGAACATATTCACATAAACCAACACCGCCTTTTTCAGAAACTATTAGTAAACGAGTCATAACACTTATGTAAAAGCTTACCTGCGTGTGGCCAAACAGGAATATTGAACTTCTTAGCCATCAAGAGAATAGCAAGGACTTCGTTGACACCAGCAACACGACAAGAATCAATTTGACAAACATCAATGGCTTCAGCTTGGAACAATTGCTTGAAGATGATACGGTTTTGAATGTGTTCACCAGTAGCAACCTTTGTCTTAGGGTAAAGAGCCTTACGAACAGCAGCATGACCGAGAACATCATCAGGAGAAGTGGGTTCTTCAATGAAGAAAGGCTTGTAGGGCAAAAGATCTTGCATCCAATCAATAGCTTCTTGGACATCCCAAACTTGGTTAGCATCCATCATCAAGACACCATCTTCACCAATTTCTTCACGAATGAGAGCAGCACGACGAATGTCAGAAGCCTTGTCACTACCAACCTTTTGCTTGAAAATTTTGAAACCTTGTTCCTTGGCTTCACGAATCAAACGACGAACCTTGTCATCACTGTAACCTATATGCATTGTTCAGAACAGTTACAAGATTGTTTCTTGTGCTTACCTAACCAACCAGCAGAGGTAGTGTAACTAGGGTAACCATTAGCACGGACATCAGCTTCACACTTGGCCTTGTTGGGAACATTGGCACGCAAGATTTCAAGAGCTTCTTGTTCAGTAAGAGCATCAGTAATGTAACGGAAATCGATACATTGAACAAATTGTTCAGGGTCAAGTCAGCAACCAACTTCCAGACAGGCTTGTTTTCGGCCTTGGCCCAAAGATCCCAGATAGCGTTAATAACAGCACCAGTAGCAAGGTGAACAACACCCTTTTCAGGACCAATCCAACGCAATTGAGAGTCACCAGTACAGATTCTGTGAGTGGCACGCATATCGGCAGTCAAATCACTGAGTTTCTTGCCAACGAACTTGAGAGCGAGTTGTTCAATACAAGCACAGACAACGTCGTTACCACGACCACAAGTGAAAGTCATACCATGACCTTCAAAGTCAGGAGAATCAGTATAGAAGATAATATAAGCAGCAGAGTAGTCAGGGTCTTTGTTCATGGCATCAGAGCCATCCAAGTGCTTAGATGTAGGGAAACGAATATCTCTGATTTCGTACTTCGTGATGGTAGAATCAATAAGAGCGTGTTGAACCATGTTGGTATGTTTATAAGACAATAAAGGTAAAGTAGAAAAGAAAAAGACTTTTGCTTCTTGATATTTATACCTTTTTTTTTCTGAATCATGCAACTCGAGTCTAAAAGTCACATTTGAATTTTATAGGTACGGCGAAAAGGACAATATTTTATTTTCCCTCTGTTTTAAAACCTTATTGGGTTTTCTCTTTACATAAACGCAACATGAGGTCCTTTCCTAGCGTATAGATAATAGCACCAGGTACAATAATTCAACAACCATTTGGAATCTTCAAGATAAAGAATTCAGTATACACATGTATATGTTTGCTTTACTTACAATCCATAAAATGACTAAATCTCTTAAACTGTTATGACCAATATGTTGGTAACCTGAAAATGGCTCAACAAGCCAATATAAAAGGGTTTTTGAAAATGTCATAATGGCTGATGAAAACCCTACAAGATTCGCCTGACCTACATTACTATTGTGATTGAGTAACCACAAATAATAAAAGTTTAAACATGTTTCAATAACATTCATCGTAGCTAATATGGAGAATTTAGTTTAAGGAATAAGGACAATTTCTTTTAATTACCTTGAGCACCTGTGAAACCATCTTGAGCTTGAAAAGCTGGTAATCCATAGAAATGATCAATCTTTTTTTTTCCAGCCAAAGGAGAATTAATAAACAAAAATTCTCCTAATCATTTACCTTTCCGTAAAGATTGTATGGTTTCCAAAGGAAATTAAGACTGCCGCCTTCCATACTATGAGGCCTAATTTTTTCTTTCTTTATCTCCTTTCTCTTCTTTTTTATTATTCATGTTTACCTAAGCAAACAAAAGCCAAAATCCTACAAACAAAAATAAAAGTATGAACAAGATGAATGTCAACTCCATCTGACAAGTACCCAAGCAACTAAAAGCGAACTGACAAAAAACCAAGCTCTTATCCAGTAAGGAACTTGAGAAGCATTGCTTGTTTGTGCCTGAATATTGGTTGTCATGGTTTCCTCCAAACAATTTAAAACAAGGTAAAAAGAATGGGGTTTAAAAAAAGAATGAAAAAGAAAGAAAGTGTGGTTTCTTTCTTTGGGTTACCAAACCTTAGACGAATGATGTAAAATAGTCAATAAACAACCTTTATTTCAGAACAAGACGATCTAAGAGATATCTACTAGTTCGTGCTTTGCTTTTGCAAGTTTCAACAGATTATCAAATTGACCTGAATTGCTGCACATTCTATAAAACATGGAATTGACATCTTGTAATAAATCCAATGGGCTACATATAAAAAAGAAAGTGTTAGTCTGTGTGTATGAATTGGGCCGATAGATGCTCTTACCTTGCAAACTCCAAAATTTGACCATGATCAAGTACCAAGACACGATCATATTCAATCACAGTATTCAAGCGATGAGCAATACACAAGACAGTACAGTCAGAAAATTCTTGATTAATTGTCTTTTGAATGGCTCTATCTGTCTCGAAATCAACACTGGCAGTTGCTTCATCTATTAACAATACTATGTTTTTCTTTAAAACAGCTTGGGCAAGACACAATAATTGCTTTTGACTTTGGGAAAAGTTGTGTCCACCTTCAGAAACAGTCTAAATTACTGAATGTTTCTTTATGAAGCTTACTTGATCGAGATTCTTGAACACGTTCGCGTTGATATCATCTTGATTATTGTCAGTGATTAAATGCACGCGACGAAGGGCACCAAAGATATCTTGATCTTCAAATTGATCAAATAGGTCCATATTCGACCGAAGTGTGCCAGAGAACAAAGTAGGATCTTGAGGGATAATAGTCAGATTGCTACGTAAATCACTTGTACCGAGAGTGGAGATATCCACATCATCAATCACAATTTGACCCTTCAAGTGCTCAATAAAGCGAAAGAAGGAGAACGCCAATGTTGGCTTCCCGCTTCCTGTTCTACCCACAATACCAATCTTCTCTCTTGGTTTGACCGAGAAACTAACGCCTTTTAAAATAATAGGAAGATCAGGCGCATATTGAACATGTAAATTATCTACTTGGATAACTCCTTCATGTGGCCACTTAAAAAATGAATTAAAAAAAAACAAATGGTAAAAGGCACAACTTACATCAGAAGGTGGTCTTGTGTCTGTGATTCTATTAGATTCTTGTTCAATCTCTAAATACTCTACTACGCGTTCTACTGAATTAAAGACATTCTCAACATCAATATATCTTCTAACACCCCAATAAAACTAACTAAGATTAAGACACATATATATAATGAAATTGTACTTACTGAATCTGTAAATGTGCTTACAAAAGTCAAGCAAAAATCAGCCAACGGAGCATCCATGTTATTCAGATTTAGCAAAATTAAGACACCTGTAATGAACGTAATGATGGAGCCCATCATAGAGATACGTGTGCTCACCCCCATCTTCCCATGGACCAATTATAATATAAAGTTCGAGATTTAGCATCCACACGCTTCAGTATATTCATCATAAACCGGTGACTCATACCAAACGCGCGAATGGTAGTGATGCCTGAAATAGTCTCACCAAACTGACTAAAAATGGGAGAACGACTCACAGATTCCATACGCTGAAGATCTCTATTACAAGCAACAAACTAACTACCGAAATAGATACTGACAAGGGTAACTACCATCATAGGCAAGATGGAAAGAAACACTGTCGCCATGGTCACTAAAGCAATACCTACTATTTTGACCCGTTCATACAGGAAACAGATAAAATAGAAAGATATCTTTCGGTCGATTTTCTCAGCATCTTTGCTAAAACGGTTCAGTAAGCGACCTACAGGGACTGTATCAAAGAAACAAAGAGGTGCGCCAAAGATACGTTCGAGTAAAAGAATGTATAGTTTTCTACCAGTGTCAATACCTTTCCAGAAAGTAAGGGTGTACTTGAATCCAACCAAGAAGATATTTATCATATTAATCATGGCAAAGATACAAAGGTAGGCATCCAGACTGTATGCCTTTTGAGCCTTATCAGATTCATAAGACTGTGCCCATTGTTTAATCCACCAGGTAAAAGTAATGTCGAATATTCTGTAGCCTATAATGACGGATAGAAACGCGGTCCAAAAGAACCAGTGGCCATATAGTCCTAGATACTTCTTATAGAACTTGAGCTTGGCAGTGCCATCAAAGCGTTTCTCTTCCTCTACAAGTACTTTTGGGCTTTTTTTGGTCGAAGAATGTATATCAACAATAGACGGATTACTTTCAGTATTGCTCGTCAAACTGACTTTGTCTATTGATTTCTTGCTCTTCTTGAATAACATCGTCTTGACACAGTAGACTTAGTTTCTCTACCTTTTTAATCTCTAGAGGAGAACCAGTAATCTGTGTGCGTCCATCTTTGACAAGCACTACATAAGTACAGTTTTGTATACATAAACTGACATGGTGAGTAATCAAAATGATTGTTCGACTCTTAACCAGAGGCCCCAGAAGACACTTGTGATACAATTGTCTAGCTGTATATGCGTCCACGGCACTTAAGACATCATCAAGAAATATATTCTGGGCTCGAGAATAAACAGCACGAGCCAGTGTAACTCGTGCTTTCTGGCCACCACTGAAAGTGATGCCCTTTTCACCAATCTCTGTCTCGTTGCCATCATTGAGATACGAGAAATCTTTGTCCAAGGCACAAGCGTAGATGGTACCTTGATATCGACTAGACACAAATGGAAGGCCAAACAGAATATTGTTTTTGATGGTATCGTTTTGTAGCCAAGCCGTTTGAGGCACATAAGCAACAGCTTCTGGTAAAATCCAAGAAGCAGAAATAGTTGTGTCTTGAGACGCTTGAATCGATGCAATGTCAATTGATTGATCCAAAGTAGAGTAAAACGGATTGGAACTTGCTGAATAAACATAGCCATGGGTGATTTTGGCTTCACCTAATAAACTGAGCATCAGCAATGTTTTTCATGAACCAGTCGCGCCACAGATAAGAGATATTTGATTTTTGGGGAAAACAATGTTGAGATCCTTTAGCTGGAATACTTGATCTTGGGAATCGATTGGCCATGTTATAGTAGCATCTTCCATTTTGATAGTGTCTAAAGCATGAACAAAAGAAGAATCCATGTTATTGACTTCTGCTTTTGCCAAATACTTTTGAACACGATCCAAACTCACATACATTTCTAATACATCGATAATTGTTCCCGGAATGATAGTCAAAGCAGACTCGAGTTCATGATAGACTTCAATGGCTGCGAAAGCAATAGGAGCAGTGAGTTCTTGCTTTTGCAGTTTTGTAAAAGAAAAGAAGGCAATGCTAATAATCAAAAGAGGAGTTCTGTAATAGAGTTAGGATAGTTGTATTACAAGTATTGATCTTACCCATGCCATATACACAAGAAAATGATATCTGCAATACATGTCTTCCCCAAGTAAGATAACTCAATCTCTCTAGATTTAATAATACGTTTTGTCCAATTGGATTCCCAAGCAAAGAGCTTGATTTGACGAATGCCCTGTAGAAGTTCATTCATTAAGTAAACTCTTTTATCGCGTGCTTTCATGAGTTTCTCTTGCTTGGTTGAATAATATTTTGTCACCAGTTGGTTTAATGGCAGCATCACCAACATTACTGACAAACCTAGCAGACTAGACCATCCTAACAAAGAATATAACAGATAGACACCAACAGTAATTTGAACAGGAGCCATGCTGAGAACCATTCAGAAAAGACGGTGGGCATCAAATAAGTATCTGTGCTCATCAGGTTCACTGTATTCCCTACTCCTTCTTCATCTGCTTTGTTTGACAAGACAGACACGTCTCTTTGTCGAAGAACCTTGTGATAGATCTCAACATTTAGCATGGCACGAATACAAACTTCAATAGTCGATTGTCCTATCGTGTCTTTTTGAATAACCATGTTCATTACATCAATTCATATTACCAACAAACCATAACTGAGCAGTTAACAGATTATCCACTGCACCACATACTGCCATCATAAACACATAAAAAACATCCAGCATGAACCACTGTTTATCCCATTCTTCCATATGTTGAATATGTAACAGTATCATCTTGAGAAACACAGGTTGTCCAAATTGTACGACACCAGTCAAGACAGCAAGCGAAAACTGAAGAGTAATTGCTCTCTTGTTGACTAAGAATATACGATCCAACAGACTCTTTTTGGCATTGGTATGACGAAATACGTAAAATAGGTTATGGGCCCTGCTAAATGCAGGTAAAACAGGCAAATCAGTGTCTGTTGTATCCTTTCCTTTCGAATTGACTGTGTTCACTAGGGGTGTAAGCCATGAAAAGAACAGGTTTCCAACCAAAGATTTTACTGTCTGTAGCGAGACCACTCGACCATCTTGATCAAGAAAAGGAGAACCTTGCTTCATGTTTGATGTTAAATAGACCAAATTAAACCCAATCAAGACCAGTATCCATAAAGCAAATGCCATTTCTGAATTCAATGCTCTTATGACCAAAGCAATACATTGTACAATAAAAAGAAGACGCATATGAACATTCAGCGTCCATCCAAATTTATGTGACAACAAGTACTGCCAAAATACCAATGAAAGAACAACACAATAAAGCCAAACACCGAGTTCAACCAAGGAGCTTATAATGGAAATCATTGTATCTCTATGTTGAACCTTATGTACAAGAACATAAGCAGAGAGTATAGTCATTAAGAGCGCTTCAATATGAATACAAATCAATGGCTTTCGGTTAGAAAATGATCCTTTTCTCACTAAATCTTCCTTGTAAGGAGATGTTTGAGCTTGATTTGCTTCCTGACATTTGTTCAAGCGATGAAAATAAGCTTTTTGAATAGAAAGAACAATAGTACTGGAGATCAAAATGGTTCCTTGAGGCACTACTAACCAAAGGTAATTCATGTTGAAGCAGAACAAAAGGACAGAAAGACAAGAAATATCATAGTTTAACTAAATCAAAGTTTGTGCTTGTAACACCAAGCATCTATCTGCTGCGGTTGACACGATAAACTATTTAGCTTTTATGCAGCATGTTATTCACTCAAAAAAGGACTTTTCATTCGTTCGAATAGGCTGTATTTAACTATGAAAATATAAAGACTGTTTGAACATAGCATACATGTTCGTATTTTGACACGTCTCTCTTTTTGCTGTTGCCTATGGACATACACGCTAATGCGACATAAGCTGATCTTAAATTCAGAAAGAGGATGTTTGGCTACAAATCTATCACTTTGTTTGGTTTATTTTATATATATATATAAATATACATGTCAAATTACTACTTTGCTATTGTGGGAGCAACAGACAATCCCATCTACGAAACAGAAATCACACCTTCATCACGCTCTTCTGCTCTTATTGACTCGAATAGAGTAAAAGAATACAATGATAGATACGCGTATATATTAATACCATTATTATTATTATTTTCTAGCAAAGAGATGAACATAAACACTTGAACCAGTTCATTATACATGCAGCACTTGATGTTGTTGAGGAATACCAATGGAACACAACAGCCATGTAAAGCATAACTGTAAAAAAAAAGACAGATGAAACTTACTCTTGACTAGGTACCTGAAATCGATTGATCGATTCAATGAGTTTTATGTCTCATGCTTTGTTACAGCAGGAAGTAAGGTCATATAGAGTAAGCAGTTTTTGACTTACTGAAATAGATGTCAAGCTCATGTTACTTCATGACCAAAAATCAGAAGATAGCATAAAGCAATTCTTCACTGAAGTCTATGAATTATACATCAAGGTAAGATACACTATATGTATGGTCAAACAATAACATTGACTAGATCTTAATGAACCCATTTTACGAGAAAAACTCGACTATTACCAACCCATCATTTGATAACAGAATTAAGCTTGTCGCAAGACGTTTTCTTTAATAAACTAACTAGTATCTTCACCATTTGTCCATACACGAAGTCTTTCTTTAAAGTATCTTTCAAGTCGATTAGCACAGCGAGCATAGTTGGTCGCTTCTCCATTATACACTCGACAATTATCAAACATCTTTTGTACATCTCTAATAAACTGATCCATTGTTTGATATAGATCTGTCTCTACATTTTGTTCTAATGTAGTCAAGTCTGTAGAATTTAAGTAACTAAAGAATACACACATAACAAACTTACCCATAGGATCCATAATCACATCATAATAATCAGTTACTTCTTCAGCATTAACAGGCTCAAGGAAAGGCCAAGAATGAGGATTCGACCTTAATTCACTCACCAAATGTCGCATTTGATTATAATGTGGTGCATGACGAGGTCTATTTGATAAAGCATCCATTTCAGGTGTCCATCCTGATTCCTTGACGCCAGGAACTAGGAAGGGGTCAATGCAGCGTTTTCCTTCAGCATTAAGTGGCATTTGAATGCCTGGGTATACAATATGGGATGTAGAGTATTCTTTCATTTTCTCGTACACTGCTTTTCTTTGGATCTGTAGAATATCATGCACATAAAGATATTTGACTTTGGGCACTGTTGTGCACTAACTCATCACAATGAGCAACTGGTGTTTTTCTATATCCCACTTTTTTTTTATCTTTACCTGCATAATGGTTCCTCCCTCATAATCCTTAATGTAGCCTACCCATTTTCGCTTATCCAAGGTAATTTCGGTTGTAAAGCCTTGTTTCTTAAAATAGCCAGTAGCGTAGTTATCTGCATAAGTCAAGTAATGCTTAATGTTGGTATGATCAGAGACGTAATCTTTCAAGTGGTTCATTAGAAAAGAACCATAACCTTTTACTTGCTCTGTTGAAGCAATGGCACAAAAAACAATTTCAGCAAACTCTTGGGGATCAAAAGGACGATAACAAATGCCGCCAATCACTTTCATAGGCTTTCGAATCAATGCCATACTTTTGTGGTTGCGGTCATAAACCAGTCGAGCAATGTATTCTTTAGGCATTTTGGGCAGTTGTTTCTGAAAGATATTCTTAAGTCCAGTCAAGAGAATCATACTGTCTCGCTGACCGTCGTTCTCAACCACACGCACTTCAATCAATCCTAGCCTTTCTTCACGCATAGCTGGACTTTCCTTTTTTTCAGAAGGCGCAAGATCTGCCAGGATCTTGACTTTACCTTCCTCGTCTAGAATGCCTTCTTTTGCATCAATAGCACCATTCACTTTGAGTGCTTCTTCATTCAGCAGACGATCTCCTTCTTCCGTTACACTCACTATTTTAGGGATTTCTTTTTGTAATAATTCGCGCTCTGCTTTACTGATCGCTTCTTCTTCATCATCCTCTTCTTCGTCTTCTTCATGTTTTTCTTTCGGAGTACTGGTATGCTTTCCATTGTTGCCATTTGGCTGAGTGTGTTTAGATAAGCCATCTTCTTCTTCCTCTTCTTCTATGTCTGAAGGCTCTTCTTCGTCCTCTTCTTCAAAGAGCTGTTCTTCCGGCTCTTCCTCTTCCTCTTCTTCCTCCTTTTCTTCTTCTTCTTCTTCCTCCTCTTCTTCTTCCTCTTCCTCCTCCTCCTCTTCTTCCTCTTCCTCCTCTTCTTCATCTACATGACTTGTTTTTTCATCCTCACTCTCTTCACCAATCTTTAGTCGTTTTATACTATCTTGCTCTTCATCATCATCTTCTTCCTCATTTTTCCTTGTACGTTTATTGGGTGTGCATTCTACTCTACCATCAGCTACAAATTATGCTTCTTTTGAAATAACCTTACCTTCACCATGCATAGAAAAAGGAGAAGATGCTTCAGACATAAAATCATTCAATTGCGCTCGATTTGCATTATAAATAATTTGCCTAAAAAAAACATGGTAAGCCCTTCTTATAGGTGTATCAGTAAATGCATACTTTTTTAAGGATTCAACATCTTGGTCTGTATAGTCGTAATCGTCAATCTTGCCCTTTTCCTAACAGACATCAACTTATGGGTATACTTTGCTCAAGATGCTTACTTCTAATATTTCATCAATACGTAGGGCTACTTTGAGCCTACGTGTAAAGTCCTGCTGTTGTCCTACATGCTGATCGGCATCGTGTCCACACAGACATGCTTGTGAATAATCCAATGAAAAGCTGGGTCTCCAACCTTGACAGTCTTCACATTGATCGCAAGGCATATGGCGTGCCAGTTTAAGTATTCTGTCTGTTTCGGTCATATTGGCGAGTTGAGGAAACAACTTGTCCAAAGATTGAGTTGATTCGTTCATATTAGGCTTTTAAAACATTAATGGCAAGCAGCAACTTTTTAGTCCTTTTTTTTTTTTCTTTTCTGATTTTACGGCTGAGTTTCCATTGTTGTAGTGGTAATATGGACATTGTTGTAGTGGAAACAAAGAACTGTCTGAGCCGCGCTTCTGTTTTTCTATTTAAAATGACGAACTCAATGTATATACATATTGAAGAGATGGGAGGGCTGTAGTTTATCATGTTCATTGGCCTTACTAACGGCAACTATCTGGAATAAGTGTTGAGTATGCCTATACAAGTGGACCTCTGTTGCCTTCATTCATTGTTTCTAGCAAACTTTTAACATTTGATAATTTAAAAAACAGACAACAAAGCATATTGAGACTGCCAGATTGAAACTTCAATTCAATAAGCCTGATAGTGAGAATGTTACCTTAGTTTCCAATTAAAAAGAAGCATTCCATGAAAGAAGCTGTGGAAAATACCTTACATCTCATTCAAGAAAAGGGAATGAGTTCAGTTCAAGCGTTTGAAAGAGTTCAATAAATCAGAAGGAAAAATGATCTCTTCTGCCGAAAAGCGTCATGTCTTTCGCTGCATCTTCTTGATCCGCCGTTTTGCTCAGAATTCATCGTCAATAATTGGTTGAACACATTGAAAACTTTCCTGACTAATAGATCTCTCTTTCAGTATGTATAGGCATCCGATTCAAAAGTGTTAAGCAACAGAAAAGAGGTCCTTTAAGAGAATGGTATTCTAATAGAAAAAATCACATACGTTACTCCTAGAGAATGTAAAAGTTGAATTAAGCATCCTAAGTCATATTTGAACTTTATAACTCATTTTTATCTTAATACGTTTTGATTATTTATCAACAATGAAGGAAAGTACTTTGTATACATTTGAATTGATAGATGGGAAAGAAAAAATGGTTGACTCTCTCTAAATTAGCTTTCTCCAGGTTAGCTTTTTTTGCAAGTTGACTTTTTGGGTCACATCCGTGAAACCATTGGTTAGTAGAACCGATAATATTGGTAGCAAAGTGGTCGATTCAAATGTAATGGGTCGTTTATATACATACAAATTTCTTAAGAAAAAAAGAATCGAAAAGATTGGAAGTGCACTTACAGCTTTAGCAGTTAGATTCAAGCTTTCTTCACTACCATGCATCCCAAAGAAACAGTGTAGAGTGTCACCAAAAAACGTTGTGTGTAGGACAGATCATCTTTTTATTTTATTTAATGTCAGCGAGATAAAAAAAAATATTTTTCTTTGCCTCTTTCCCTCTTGTTTCTCTCATGGTTCGTTATTTGACAAGTCTTTTTGCTTCTACACTTGCTATTTCAGGCATTGTAGCTCAATCCAATTTGATCAATGGCCAATGTGTTCAGAATTATGACGCTACTGTAGATTATTTCCCAGAGAAATTGAATACAGGTAACTGAATTTCAAGATAGTTAGTATATTTAAATCTTTAATTTAGGCAATGACAAGGGACAATATTTCTCAATTGAATATCATAATAACTACAAGGTAGTTCATAATTATCGTACGGGTAATTCTTATGTGCTTGTTCAATGTGGTACACCTACACCTTCCAATCTCAGCAATGGCACTGAAGTCTATGAAATTCCTGTGACCAAAGTAGCTGCAATGGAAACCAGTGTAGTCCCTTATCTCGAGGTAAGATGATATGATCTGGATACATACTAAATGTGACAGATGATTGGTGTAGCAGAAACAATCACCTTGATTGCAGATGGTAGTTTGATCTGTTCCTCTTGTTTCCAAAAGTATTTGAGTACCGGAAACATAACTGAATTGTCTTCTACTAATCAAACATTGCAAATTGAACAAATCAAAGCTGCTCAAGTTCAATTTGGTGCTAATCCTTATGCTGTGGTTGATACAAACACAACTGTCTCTACTGCTTCTGCTTATGAACCTGATGTCTTGGGAGTAAGTTGTAGTTTGAATTATATCACTTATTGATTGATCTAGCGTGCTTCTTGGATCTCTTATTATGCTGCTTTCTATAACCTTGAGGGCGTAGCTAACAATATTACTCAGACCATGACGGATAATTACAACCGATTGAAGGAAGCTGCTGCTCATTACGATACTAAGCCTGTCGTTGCCTGGACTACTTATGATGCTCCTAGTACCTATAATAATAATACAGCTAGCTACATTCTTAGCAGTGCTTCCTACAAGGTTGAATTGACACAAGATGCAGGTAAGTTCAATACACATCAGCCATTCCATATTCATCCATTCATTCATTTAGGTGCCACTTTATTTAATTCGACCAAGAGCACATTTAGCTCTGCTGCTGAGCTTTTGGACGCTATTAGTAATGTTGACATTCTCATTGACGAAACTTACATTGGCTCCAACTTGACTGCTTTTCTTCAAAACTACAATATCTCGGATAGTTCAAAGTACAAGTTTTTGCAAAAGAATCAAGTCTACCGTGAAGATGGTATCTTGACATTATCAGGCGGTTATGATTGGTTTGAAGCTCCTGTAGCTATGGCGGATGCTTTGTTGGAAGATATGATCAATGCTGTTAATCCCGATGCTCCCACTAAGGGTTATCAACGTAACTGGCTTCGTAATATTGCTTTGGGTGAACCTATCAAGTATGTGACAGAAGCCAATTGTTCTTGGAGTGAAGAAGCACCTCGTCCTAACTTGGCTTCTCAATTCAATGGCAATACATTTACACTCACTTCCAATGCTTTGTCTGGTTTAAATCAAAAGCATATGATGGGTGCTATTGCTATTTCTTTTAGTACTTTAGTTTATCTTTTTTAATTTCTTAATACATTGTACTACAAAATAAGCTATGTATCACTGTCATTTTCTAAAGAGTATCTTATTAAGAATTTGCCAAAATGATGTCTTGAAAACAATTGGAGTGTTGCGCTTTGAAATTCGAGTCGCCGACCAGTTTCGGAACAATAAAAAAAAACTCGTTGCCTTTTCTTTTTGCCTTACGACTGGTGAAGGCTTTGGCTCAAAATCAGAAAATGGATGGCGATATGAAGCCTAAAAAAGGAAATCAGGTGGCAACGTGTAACAAAAAGATGAATTGATGGCTAGAAAAGAAAATTATAGAAAACTATTTTATTCTTAAGGATATGATACTTATGTTTTCATATACAGGAAAAAAGCAATTCAAAGCACATACTGTCTTCTTCATGTATCATTTTGATAGGCTTAATTGGGTTTTTTTTACTTTTGTAGGAGTCAAATATACATTTGGTGACAGTTCTTTTGAAGCTCTGCTAGCATCGTCAATACCGTTGACAATACTCGAAAAAAATTCGTCGTCTTCTTTTGCAGTCATTCCTGTTAAGATTGTATTTTGTAAATTGCTGTGATGGTTTTTCCAAGTATACAAGTTTTTGAGTGTGGCTATGAACGAAGGTAGTTGGTGCAGATATTCTGGTACGGAGAGGTTATTGATGTGTTTGGCTATGTAGATGTCATCAATCTTCTTTACAGCAAACATGTAACCGCGTGGGCCTATAAGTTTTTTAGATAGTCAGTAACCCTATTATATGGATATATGTACGTCCTAGAAGCAGTAGAAAATCAACTTACCAACCCAATCCATACCAAGTGTATGAACATTTTTAGAATCATCTTCGGAAAGGGGTAGTTCAAGAAGCTTGCTGAGAATTGCTTTGTTCATTCTAATGTTTTTTGCTTGTTGAATCAGACACTGCTCTTGAGAAACTTTCTTTCGCTTCCATTCGTTCGTTGATAATTCGATATTTCTTGTTGACAATAAAAGATCAATCCGACGACCGAAGCCCCGATTTAAGGGTATATTATTACCATAGATGTTTTCATGATCTTTCGCAATAGACTTGCTAGCCTTACATGTTGTTTCGCCACTACATGGAAAATACAGATAAGTACAATTCAAGGCAGCATTATTAAAAAAATCATGTTGTTCGCTTACTCTAGTAAGTCCAAGTTCAAGTCTTTTAGTAGGATATCTAGAATGGATGCCACTTTTCTATAGCATATCAGCTCTGAGTCATTTTCGTTTTTCTTTAATGTGTCGTCGGCTATAACATTTCTGGCTATGATTTCCATTATGTCTAAAACCGCAACAATGTCGTCCTCATTTTTCTCAATTGCCTTCACTTTTTCTTTTGCAATCGCCAGTCTTAACTGCTTGAGAGCAAGCTTGCCTTTTGTGTCTTTACTAAGCTAATAAAGGAAGAAAATCAGCGATGGCTTTCATAGTGAAGAATTATAACTTACCTGAATTACATAATTAAAGGTCTCCTCCGATGCAACAGGCATTGCAGGCTCGAGCTCTATTTTTACACTGTTGATTTTTTCCCAAAATGGGTTGTTTTTAATATATTTTTGAAAAACCTTTAAGATGTTGAGGTTGACGAAACTCACGGTTTTTGAGAGAGCAAGTCTAAAAAAAGGGGGATGTAAGAAAGTATTAAAAGAGTAATAATTTTACATGCTTACTTTAAGGCATTTACTTCGTTAATATTTCCATCGTTAAGGTCAAGCATTAATTTGGATGACATAAGATCTAGTTCTTCGCTCATTGTGGTAGGTTTTAAGTTTTTTGCGATTTTTTGAAGAGTCGAAATTTCAATTTGGCTTAAAGAACCATGTAGCTATAGTAATTATAAATATAAAAAATTAACGAATTAATAACATTGTTATTTTTGCCAGATAAACGATTTACCCTTTTTGCTCCAAGAAGGTATACCTCGTAGCGAACTTGTGATGCTGAGATGATCGGTCTATTGACAGAGTCATAGAGTATGTCTGTTTCATTTATTTTTCCTACAAATCTTGTCAGAAAAAGACACTAGACTTTTAGATAGTATATACATACTTTTGCTTCCAGAGTTTCCTGTTGGAATTGGATTCTGTAAAAAAGGATCACAGTTATTTTTTGCATAAAAACATAGCTGTTTTATATATTTATATTTACAAAAAGGCTGTCGACATCATCTCTAAATCATTTCAGAAAAAGAAAAGTTGTTGTTTGCGTAAATACCTCAATTCTTGTCTTTCTTCAATAGCTTTTTCAGTAGTTTGTCTTCCAACAGTGGTATTGCTTGACGAAGCGACAAGGCTAATATTGCTAGAGATCACATTGCCGTTTATTTTTATACAGTTACTTGACTCATCCTTAATCTGTTCTTCAACTTTCTTTTCAACTCTTTTGACAACATTGCTTATAGAATCTTTCAAGTCTTCACTAATTGATGGATCTCTTGCAAAGCTCTTTAGATTGTATAAGAATGTGCTTTTAAGGGCTTTTCTGCTCTTTTGTGAATGATTTTTTTCGTAATATTTAATGTAGTTAGGAAAATCCCATTCAGAAAGAGGGTTTTCCGAGAAGAAGCTATCGTTTGATTCTAGGTGTTTATAGTCGTGCATAGGCAGACTATCGATGGAGCTTTTCAACTATAGAGACAAGACACTGACACTCTAGCAATTTTCAAAATGCAACGTCATATCTTTGTTCGTCGGAGTTATTAATCCCTGTACCAAGTATTCAAAAAAAAAGAGAAACGGCTTTCATCCCTTCTGTAAGAATCAGCAAGATATTGATCAGGCTAGGACTCTTTGCCTCATCTTCAACTCTGAGGCAAGTTTCGACAACCCAGCTTCTTCTTATCGTTTGGGGATTCCTTTTGGAAACTTAAGATAAAAGATGCCCGCCTGCTTAGCACAGCATAAGCTAGACTTGGCTACTCATCCCCTGAGAAGCGACAACCCCACTTATTTATAACAACATTGCTTCCAACAAGTTTTTGTTGCTTATGAATATGTCTGTCTAGGTGCTAATACTATCAATAATTTGATTGCAAAAGCAAGGAGACAGGCTAGGACTCTTTGCCTCATCTTCAACTCTGAGGCAAGTTTCGACAACCCAGCTTCTTCTTATCGTTTGGGGATTCCTTTTGGAAACTTAAGATAAAAGATGCCCGCCTGCTTAGCACAGCATAAGCTAGACTTGGCTACTCATCCCCTGAGAAGCGACAACCCCACTTATTTATAACAACATTGCTTCCAACAAGTTTTTGTTGCTTATGAATATGTCTGTCTAGGTGCTAATATTTCTTCTTGAAGAAAAATTTCCCCGCTCACAACCACGCGCAGACAATATGTTTATACTCATTGTGATATAACTAACTTTTTTTTCTTTTACCCATACAGGAATGCCTTTCTCTGTAACGTTTTGGTTGTATTCTTTTTACAAGGATAAGATTGAAGCTGTCTCTCTCAAGTAGTTTATAATAAACCCATCTCTAGTCGCCTTTAGACTCTGGCATTAATAGCATAGTTGGTTTTTGACGTTTTTTTATAAGCACATCAGCCTCTGAAAACGAAGAGAAAAGGAGCATACATATCAAAGTTACCGTGATGACTAAGCAAGCGCTGAATGAATGACTTTTTTTTTCATTTCGAGCATCCAACTACTTGACCAGAGACAAACCAATAACAAAGTCTAGAAAAGAAGAGTCCATGAACATGGAAATGAAATGCATACTGACTACTTAGTATTATCTAAATCTACAATAAACATAAAATCAGAATTGGTTAAACTCTAGAAATTAAGCAGATCATAAGTAATGTTTACATTAGGTTATAAGAAAGAGTAGAGAGTAATTGAATACCTCCCCTACTATCTTCTCATTGCATTCATACCACTACACAACATGACCAACCAATACTAAGTTGTGATTGATGCTACCAAGCACTGATTTCTTTCTGTTTATATTATCTTAGAATAAACATCTTAACAAATCATCTACAAAAAACTGATTACGTTTAACTATCATTTTGGCATTACTTGTATTGGAGATTGAAAACAGAGTCAACTCCAACTCTTTGCTGCTTCATCGAAATCAAGCTTTTGCTGAGCACTGTATAAAGACACGGTTATTGGACTTTGGTGTAGTGACAAAAGCTGTAGATCTTTGCTTTCTGAGTCTGTTGATGTAAAAGAAAAAGTAACTTTGTTGCTAAAATATTGAGAAAATAGGCAGAAATGTTCATGAGGTTTTTCGTTCATAACATACCATTTCTATACTATGATTAGCAAACAAACACATGCATCAAAAACTAGAGCTTGAAACGCACATTTTGAATATTTGAGCTTGCTTGTATCTCTATTTTTGTCTTATTACGTCAGAAAGGAGCTTAAAGAGTTTTCAGATTGAATATTTTCATGAGTTAGTACAAGTCGTTTTTTTTTTGTCCAAATCAACTCGAAAGGCATCATATATTATAGTAAACAAAGTTTGTAGGTATTTGGAGCAATTCTTGCAGGCAGGAACAGGTTTTATGCTATGTTTATAGGCCTCAAAAAAGACAAAGATTCGCATGGATTGTTGTCTTTCTTGTTGTCGAAGCATTTATTTGTCTGGTTTTTCTGTAGCATGAACAAGTAATATGCCATCAAATTATTTGTTCCTATCGACATGTCCTTAATTTATTGAATTTGTCGAATCGATAAGTACTCGATCAAAGTATTTAAAGAAAGAGAATTTTAATATGAAAATAAGCTTATGAGCAATACTTTCTTTGTTAAAAGAGTAAGTAGCTTGTTTATAATGAACAGATTTATAGCGCGTGTATTTTTTTCTTCTCTTCGTTGCATGAAAAAAGAGTCCAATTTGGTCCTCGCTTTATTTCTTGAAAGAAAAAAACAACAGCTGATCTTTGAAACCCAGAAAGCAAAGCAACTTCAAAGAAAAAGTTTTTTTTCTTATTTTTTTTTTTTTTTTTTTTGGTATTGATTATGGTTGATGCAGCTATGAAATGTTCTTATTGTACTTCTGCTGAAAGTGCAGATTCGCCGGACTGGATTCAGTGTAATGCTTGTCAAGTCTGGTATCACTCAAACTGTTTGAATCTTGACGATGTTTCCTTAATCGACTGCTTCTATTGTCCAAAGTGCACCGAAACACATGGACCTAGCACTTGTACGTTGTATTTCTTTTTTCTCTTTTGTACTGAAACTAAATGATGATAGTTAAACAAAAGCGAAAATCAAGTCGAAGTCAAGCACGACTCAACTACGCCGACCTCAACGAGGGCAAATCAGCGGGCGATGAAAGAATCTGGGGCAAATTAATCAGTGTTAAATCGTTTGCTCGAGACAAATTCAAACGCTACAGAGCCAAAGACGTTTCTATGCAACTCTTGAGATCAACAGGGCTCAAGGAACCCTTTGTGATAGAACAGAACGAACCTGAATTGGAAATGAAAATGCCCCCTTCAGACATTACTGTGCATCAAATTGCTGAACTTGTTGGTGGCGATGATTATCCTGTGGAAGTGATTGATGTCGCTTCACAGTCAGAACTTCCTGGCTGGACGATGGGTCGTTGGGCAGCTTATTTTCATAGTCAAAAGAGAGACCGAATCAGGAATGTGATTAGTTTGGAGATTAGTGGATCTGATTTAGCAAAACAGATTACACGCCCCAAGATTGTACGTGAATTGGACTGGATTGATTTGATGTGGCCTACTGAGTTACATCCTGATGAATTTCCAAGAGTTCAGCTGTATTGTTTGATGGGCACAAAGGATTCTTATACAGATTTGTAAGAGAGAGAGAATGATAATAGCCAATGTTGACTTTTTTTTTTCATGTAGTCATATTGATTTTGGAGGTAGTTCAGTCTTTTATCATATCTTGAGTGGTGAAAAAACATTTTATTTCATTGAGCCAACACCTAAAAACCTCAAGAAATATCAAAAATGGTCCTCTTCTTCTGAACAATCCACTACTTTTTTGGGCGATTTAGTCAAAGAATGTTATTCTGTTCACCTTAAAGCTGGAAACACGATGTAAATCTATATAGTATACATTAATACAGAGAGAGAGAGAGAGAAAAAGAGAGACTAACATGGTAATAGGATCATTCCTTCTGGATGGATTCATGCAGTGTATACACCAAAAGATGCTATTGTCATTGGCGGTAATTTCTTGCACTCATTTGGTGTATCAACACAACTGCAAGTATACGAGATTGAAAAGGTGACGGATGTACCACTTAAATTTCAATTTCCTTTCTACAAACGCTTAAATTGGTATGCTCTTGTCAAGTTTGATACCTGGCTTGCAGATAAAGACAAACAGGACGAATTCTCGTTTTATGAGCTTGCCAATATGGCCATTTTGGCTGATTTTCTTCGCAAAGATCTCATGAAAGGGGACACATCTTTATCTAAACATGACACAATCAGCAACAGTCTAAAGAAATCACTTCATATTCCTGACACAGTGAGTGATCCTTTTGGTTTAACAGATCGTGTGCTTCGTTTGTCCAAGCATATCATAGCCACAAGTGACAAGATTCAACTTCCTTCCTCCATAAAGCCCAAAAAGAACAAACGACCAAAACTATCCATCAAACTTACAACAAAGCCAACAAAGAAAGAAGAAGATGACTTTGTTGAAATAGAAGAGGAAGAAGATGATGATTTCAAAATTGAAGAAGATGACGATGAAGAGTATTATGAAGACAATGAATTCAAAATTGAACAAGACGCGATACCCGTTATACACAACCATGAAAAAAAGAAAAGATCCAGGACAAAAAAGGTACATAAAGAATCCAGCAGCAGTGATGAAGAAGACAGTATGGGCACTGGCAAGAAATCCAATGCTGTAGACCCACTCTCTGGTCTGTTCTCCAATCGTAAAAGATCAACATCCACTACATCACAAAAATCAACAAAACAACGCATTTTGGACCGTATTACAAAAAAGTATTAAACCAACTTTTTTATTTTAAAAATCGTTTTGAAGGATCAATTTGATCATGTTGGCAGACATGGAAGCATTGCCTCCATTCTGGCCAGCATAAAAATCCAGTGCTGCTTCTAAATGTCTTTTTGCTATCAATTTAGAGTCTTCTTTGTTGGATGAGTCTAGGGGGCTTTCTGTCGAAGAAAAGTGGTCATTGTTATCAAAACAATGATCTGGATTAAAATCATCATTATAATCCATTGTATCATGATCGCTCATTGATTCTTGATCTTTCGTGGCATTGTCAGATCCCAAAGAAGCCTGTCTTGTGGGTTTGTCTTTTAGTTGAGGCACGCTCCATTCTTGAATAATCAAGCCATTCTTGTCTTTGTTACTGCTACCAGTAGCAGTATCTTCCATTTGAGTACTCTCGGTAGATTGAGCGATAGAAAAGACAGTCGTGTATTTCTGTACGTTCTTTCGAAAGGAGGGAGTTTCTTCTTCGTCTTCAATAGAAGAAACACTACTGTTGCTGCTGCTGGTGACACTATCATTGCCTTTTTGCATTCGTAATTTGGGAATAAGATAACGCTGTTTAAAATTAGATATCCAGGAACTGGATGCTTTGAAGTCTTCAAGGCCTTCAACAGAGAATGTCTGTGCATATTGGCGGGCTTGGCACCTTAGCATCTGGTCTGTCACATTGGCTAAATCGTGCTGCTGTTCATTTTGAAGCCACAAAACAAGTGCATTTTCAACAAGCGGGTATCTAGAACTACGTTGTCGATATCGCTTTGCAACTGCAGCATTACTATCTATAGAAAGCCAGCGTTCTTTTGATTTGATAATCTAATATATTTAATTAGGGCAATAAAGTATTGTAAGATTTACCTTTGCCACAGTGGTTCTTTTACAACCATACTTTGAAGCGAGTGCTTCTTGGGTATATTTTGGATTATTTATATGATCCTCGCATATCCATCGTTTTGTCTCGGCTGATAGACTTGTCCGAGTATTCACAGAAGTAGCCTTTTGTTGTTGAGGACTCTGTTCCTTATTTCTGACAAGACGGTTAACACGAAAGACATGAATATTCTTGGAACCACTATCTGAATTCATTCCTTATATACGTGTTGATTAAACAAACTTGTTTAAACAAACTACGATACAGTCTTTACTTTATTTTTATGAGAAGGGTATAAGAGTAAAGAATAAAAAAGAGAGAGGAAAAGAGAGAGAGGAAAAGAAAAAAAAGGCGGACTCTTTTTTGAGTTAAGTTCAGTTTAAACTTTAAATTTTAAAAAGGTGCAAGCCAACGTTGAATACACACATTTCAGTGAAAGGAAATAATGAGGGTCCTTGTCTTTCACCGTTTTCTAGTCCTTTTTTTGTATAAAGAATGATCGCTTTTTTTAAAAAACGCGGGCAAGAGTGTTTTGTGCAACATGGTAGTTGCTCTTCATGTATTTTGTCTCTCTTCGTGTTCTGGACAAAGTAACACGAAAGGTAAGTGCACTGATAATTAATTGAAATAAAAATTAAATTTAATCAAGCATATATACTATTTCTTTACTGAAAACAGTAAAACGTGTTGAAAGGCTTTATGTCAATGCATTATCAACATGATTATGTCATGTTTTGTCGATTGTTGCATCTTTATGTTGCAAGTGAATCATTACGTCTCCATGACTCTGTTGGTTTATCTATAAAAAAAAAAGCAAATTGTTAATTGCGCTTCTTTTTTTTATTATTATTATTATCGCTTAACAATGAGAAAAGTTTATAGAATCAGTTTATTTGATACAATTACCAATGGTTTTATTGCTGGTGCTATTGGTATCACCGCCATGACACTGGGTGAAAAAGTAGAACAAGGTATTACGGGTCGTCCCAGCTCTTATGTGCCTGGACATACATTAGAGAAGCTGCTCGGGTTAAAGACAAAGCCAGACTCTGAACGCTTTATGATGAACCATGTTATGCATTTTGGACAAGGTATTTTGGCGGGTTCGATTCGATCAATGATGTCTGCGTATGGTATGGATGGACCATTTTCGTCTTTTATGTTTGTGTTTATCAGATTGATGATTGATCAGTCCCTTGAAAACTTGACGGGTGTGGGTGCTCCTCCATGGACATGGCCATATAATGAACAAGTCATTGATATTCTACACAAGATGGTTTATGCCTTTGTTACAGGAGCTGTATCTGATTACTTGGTCACTAAAAAATACATCAAGACAGAGTAATCAGAAAATGCTTATTCTCTTCATTTAATAAAACTGTATTTAGCATCTCTTAGTTTGACCATCGCTCTTTTGATCTTTCATTTTACCTCTACTATAAAATCCAACTCGTTTCTCCGGATTTATTATGACACAAACTCTTTTTTGCATGAGAATGATAAATTATGATCTCAATAAACAAGCCATTCAATAAGAACGCAACGGCTGTTTCTCATTTAAACCTTATACTGATACCATATAGTTTAAGTTCTGTAATAATAGCACTCAGGAGTGAAAACAAAAAAAGAGGCCAAAATGAACACTACCGAGGGCATGTCAAACCAGCCTGACTTAGAACGTCTCACGAAATTTTACAAAAATACAAAATAAGATGTTGAGGCTACCAGGGGTCGAACCTGGAATCTCCTGATTCGTAGTCAGACGCCTTATCCATTGGGCCATAGCCCCTCAACTTGATTTGTCGTAATCAAAAAAAAGATTCAAGCCGAACCCAAAGCCAAGAAGGTCACATGACATCTCGAAGGTCCAAGAAGATTCTAGAATGTAAGACTCTAGAAGGTTCCTCATAGCAAGTCACATGATTACTAATCTCGGATTAGTAATCATAGTTCCTGAACCTTCTACGACTTTCTTATTTTCTAATTAGACATTTCTATTGTACCTCATAAAATGTATAAATATAAACATAACATACAATGAAATAAAGGAATCAATCATCGCTTTACTATTAATCTTTTATTATAAGAATACTATTGGTTGTTCCAACGTCAAGACGACAGATTTTGTCAAGTTAATATTTTTTTAAGGTTTGTATCCAATAATACAGGTCAGGTGACGATAGAATATTTTCTAGCCAATGGTATTACTGGGAAAATATTCTAGAAGGCAGTGACGTCTGTGTTTTGATATTATAAGTCTTTGATCTTTTTTTTTTATTTCTTTGTTATATGTTACCTGTGTTTTGATATTATAAGTCTTTGATAAGTAACTTATAATCATCAACAACACGGTATTTATATTTTTCTATTCTATACTAAAATATCTATTCTATCACTAATAAAGCAGGAAGTAATTATATCCTTCAACTTGATTGATTACTTCTTTTTCGACGAATGCCACGCGAGCTTGGCGTCTCCTAAAGGCAACTTCCTTAAGCGTAATAGATTCAGTCTAACCTTCTTTCTTTTCTTGTTTGATATTTGAGGTTTAAACCTTTTTTTGTTTGATCTATACATATAGGGAAGGTTATATTCAACCTCGATTGGCTGTTGGCGGTCGGAAGTACTAATATCTGCGACATTACCCCCCTCCTGGCTTGAAGTTCGTCTCTGAACTACGGGCGATAAACCAGAAGAAGGCGCAACGACAGGACGACAAGTAGACGCGTTTCGCGATTCATTGAAAACAGGTGGGAATTCTTGAACAGTATGGTCATCAGAATCGTCTAAATCATCGACATCGATATCAAAATTGAATTCTGATTCAGGGAGATCCCAAGGGTGAACAGGCAAATCTTCTTGAGCATCAACGAATACTTCACTGTCAGCAGAAGGCAACGTACTAGAGTCAATCGAGTTGTCGTAGTTAGGTACAAAGCTCGTAAGTATAGAGGTATCAGTGGTTTGATCTGGAAGGGCTAACGAGGGCAATATAGGAGAAGACGAGTGAGAAGGTACGGTTACGGTTGTGGGATTTGCAACAGGTTGTATTTCATCAGATTCTATGATAGTGGTATTGGGCTGTTCTGTTTCCACAGGATCGATATTATCAACATGATGACTGATAATCACATCATTACCAGAAGAGAGAGCAACACGCGAATCGTCAGTAGGTTCAGTTGGACGATCAGTGGGCATGATCGGAGCACTGTTTGTATCTTCAGAAGCCAGAGTTGGAGCTAGTACGGGCGAGTCATCTTGATCAGTATTATTTGAGGTAGGCATGAGTGAATTATTTGATGCATCTTCCGTGACTAACTCGTTATCAACAATTGTAGGAGGAATTGAGGGCACAACGGCAGCTCGTCCGATGTTTGTCATGACCTGTCGCCATTCTTGTCTAGCTATTAAAGGATCATACCAAGGTGTAGATGTTGTATGGCCATTTGCTATGCGCAATCGATCCACATGTACCAACGATTTCAAAGGCTCTCCTGCTAAAGTCTGTAGTTTGTATGTACCAAAGTCCGGAAAAGTCTGAACAACAATGTAGGGACCTTTGTATTGTGGTTCGAGACCATATCGTCCTTCGTGAGTGAGCATGACTTTATCACCGACTTCAAAAGTCACCTTCTTGATTTGTGAATCCCATTTGTCTTTGTCTTTTTCGGCCATGGCTTTCATGCGGAATTCAGCAGCTGCACGGTGTTGTCCGAGATCAACCAATTCTCTTGAAGTGATATCAGCTACTGTTCGCTCATCTTCAAATGTTTTCTTATCAATGTACGGCACAAGTGCATCACCGGGTAGTCTAGGTTCACGTCCATAGGTCAGGAAGAACGGACTATACCCAGTGGTTGAGTGTATGCGTATTCTTGAGGCCCAGAGTGCAGCGTTGACAAAGTCATCCCAGCGGTGTAAGGCGCCATTTACATATTTGCGAAGCATTCCTTTTATTACAGCATTGAAACGTTCCACCTTGGAGTTTGTTCGAGGATGATATGCCGAAGTCAGTTTATGATGGGTACCCACACGTTTTAGATAGGCGTTTACCAGGTCGCTATTGAAGTTGGAGCCTCTATCAGTTAATATCTCTGAAGGGCAACCAAAACGCATCATGATTTCTTCATATATAAAGTTAGCAACCGTTTCTTTTGTGGCAACAGGGACAGCACGAGCAATGGGCCAGTTTGTGGCATAGTCTACCGCCACGAGTAGCCACCGGTTTCCTTTCATCGTTAATGGTAATTCGCCAATGAAGTCTAAATGCCAGCGATCAAATGCAGAGGGTACCTTAAGTGGATGCATGACATCGTGGTGAATGTGCCCCGGACGGCTATTTACTTGGCAAGCTGGGCAAGTCCTCAACCATCCTTTCAGGTCCTTTTTCATGCTTGGCCACCAGAAGCGAGGTGTAAACAGTTTAACCATTGTTTCAAAACCAGCATGGCCATTGGATTCATGGTATTGTGCAACCAAATCGGCTCTTGCCACAAAAGGAACAAAAGGAACGGCTTTCAGTGTTTGCTTGTCATCAATAGGGGTCAAGTGGTACACTCTTTTATCCTTCACGACAAATTTGTCTTGTCGTTCTTCGAGATATCTGCGTAACACAGCAGATTTGATTCTATTCAGGTCAAGATACAACATAGGCCAATCATTTTGAATCGATTCCGGTGCTTCTTTCATGGTCCAAGTGGCATACAAGAATTCAGGTTCCAAGGATGTATCGGCGCTTTCCGATTCTGGCCCACCAAGTCGAGATAACACATCTGCCACGTTGTTTTCCTTACCAGGCTTGTATTCAATGGTAGGTGAATAAAGCTCGAGCTCGTTCATCCATCTAACCAATCTTGGGCTCATCTTTTCTTGGGTTCGTAGGTAACAGTTTGGTAATGTGATGATCTGACATTAAATAAGTCTTCATTTACATACTAAAAATATATCATAATCAATTTACATCAGAAATAGACATAAAAGAACCTCTTGTACTGAATAAGACAATGGATCTTTTAATAGATCAAGACTTATAACCGAAATCCATAATTTACATTATTTAATTAATTTAAAGTAGTCTATGATAATAGAGACTCAGTCATTTGCATGAACTCTACTACTACTTACTCCGACATCTCTTCATGTATAAATATGCTAGAATAATTTATAATCAAAAAGAACAACAATAAAATTGTATAGAACAGTCTCAAAGTATCTACCTTTGTCTCTATATCATCTTATTATATAACTCTATTATCAAAACATCACATTTTTTACTTTGAATTCTATTTTTACAATGTCCAACCAAAACATCAACTCTGGCTTTCGTTCTTCTTCTCCTGTTCCTGTTGCTCAAGAACACTCTCCTGCTCCTAGTATTCCTGCTGTAGATGAAGCCATGGATCTTAGACCTGATTCTTTTGAATCTCAAGAAAATGTGCCTATTGACATTGAAGAAGTAACATCTGCCAATCTTGCTGCCACTGCCAAAGAGAATCTGGACCGTCTCAAAACTGAACTCAAGGTTGCTTATGGTCACTATCTTGCCTACCAAAAGGTTCATCCACAAGCTGAAAATACCAAGCATGCCTATGAAGTCTATAAACAAGCCGAGGTCTTGTACAAAGAAGCAGACGAAACTTATAAGGTCTTCTTGACTATGGAAACTCCCAACATGCAAGTAGACAAGAGAAGTACTTTGGTTCCAGCTGGTCTTCCCTTCTTGCAGCTCAAGACTGATACAGTGATTAGCAAGAAAAATCAAGAAGTCTTCGATTCTGTCTACGATTTCTGTATGCAATTTAAGACTGTCTTGGAAGCCCACTCGTTGAATATGGATGACAACTGGGAACGTCTTTTGCCTATGTCTCTTAACAAGGAAGAGAAATCTTGGTTTGATGAAAAATTAAGAAACAAATGTCTGTCCTGGAGGGAAGCTGAATCGATGATCTTGGATCATTTTGATACCCCCTATCGCAAGTTTTTGTTGATGGTAAAGGTGTGGTCCCTCAAGCAATCCCATGGTGAATCAACTCGTTCCTTTGCTGCTCGCTTTCAGAAGCTTAGAAGACAGGCAGGTTTAGCCGATGGTTTACAACTGGTGTTGAGTTTTTGGTGTGCTCTGCGTGAGTCCGTCCGTCGTGTTGCCTCTGTTGCTGTGTCCTCCCAGTATGGAACAAAATTGCCAAGTAAAATCGAAGACATGATCGGTTTGGTAATTGCTGCCACTAATGACACTGATTTGTTCTCTTCTTCGTGGGACGCTGCTGGTCTACCTAGCTCCTCTTCGGGTTCTGGTTCATATAAGAGTAACAATGAGCGTAGTCGTAAACGCAGTTACTCACCCATATTTGCTGGTAAAGGTTCTTCGGAGTCTAGCAAGTCCATTTATGCACCAAGCTCAAGTAAGAAACCTTGCACGTATTGTGATAAGCCATGGTCCCATGGTCACAGATGTGATGAGTTCAAGGAGGCTAAGGCCGCCAAGAAACAGAAGGTTTCAAGAATGGCTGTGCGTGGTGGTTGTTCTTCTTTGGATGATGACGCTGATATGAAGAACAATGATAACAGTGATGATGACACTGATGAAAATGCTCGTTTGGCTCGTTTGGCTCTTGATTGTAAGTCTAAAAACAATATAACAAGAGATTTTAAAAACATAAGTGCTAACATTACCTTTCCTATCCTTATCAATAATTCTGTTAGAACAATGTCATTGTTAGATTGTGGTGCTGTCTTCTCCTCAGTTGACAAGTCATTCTGTTTAGAAAATAAGATAAACATCAATTATAT